CTCACAGAGATCTGCCTCCCTCTGCCTCCCAAGTGCTGGGACTAAAGGCGTTTGCCACCATGCCCGGCATGTTTTTTTAAGTAGATATTATGCCCCACGTGGTGGGTGTGCCTTTAATCCCAGCACTTTGGAGGCAGAGGCCAGCCTGGTCTTCATAGTGAGTTGCAGGCCTGCAATATAGCAAGGTCCTGTCTTAAAAACAAACAAGACTGGGGCTGTAGCTCACAGCTCAGTGGATAGAGTGCTTGCAGTTTAGTTGGTAGAGTGCTCGCCTAGCAAGCATGAAGCCTTGGGCTCATCCCCAGCACCTCATAAACTGAATGTGGTGGTGCACACCCCAGCACCCAGGAAGTAGAGGCAGGAGGATCAGTAGTTCAAGGTCATCCTTAGCCTGGGTGTTGTTGTAAGACCCTACAACAACACCACCAAAAAAAAAAAAGGGCTGGGCGGGACATGGTGGCGCACACCTTTGGTCCCAGCAGTTGGCAGGCAGACTCAGGTGGATCTTTGTGAGATCTAAGCCAGCCTGGTCTATATAGAGAGTTCCGGGTCAGCTGGGGCTCCAGGGAAACCCCGTCTCAAAAAGACCAAAAAAGAAAAAGGGCTGGAGAGATGGCTCAGTGGTTAAGAGCACTGGCGGCTAGAGGACTGGGGTTCGAGCACCCACATGGTGGGTGGCTAGCAATGGTCTGTTACTCCAGTTCCAGGGAAATCTGAAGCTTTCTTCTGACTTCCATGGGCATTGCACAGTATGGGTGCGGGCAATACACTCATAAACAAAAATAAAAATAATAAATATTTTAGCCAGGCATGGTGGCACACACCTTTAATCCTGGCATTTCGGAGGCAGAGGCAGGCAGATCTCTGTGAGTTAGAGGCCAGCCTGATCTACATAGCAAGTTCCAGGTCAGCTGGGGTTACAGAGAGACCCTGTCTCAAAAAGATAAAAAATAAATAAACAAATAAATAAATATTTTTTTGCCTGTGTGTGCATGCACATGTATGTGGGTGCCCAAGGCCAGAAGAGGGTGTCAGATCCTCTGGAGCTGGAGTTCCAGGCGGTTGTGAGCTGCTCATTGTGGGTGCTGGGAACAGAACTTTGATCCTCTGAAAGAGCAGCGAGCACTCCTAAGTGCTGAGCCATCTGCCTTGCGATGTCCTGCCTCCTGAACTCATTCTTAATTTGGGGGGGAAATAGTCTTTCCTTTTGCCTTTTCTTCAGTGTTAGCAGATTCTGGCTTGCTTCTGGGCTTTCCTCTCATTTTGCTTTGTGGAGGATCCATCTTGTCCACAGATATATCTGATCACTACAGAGTTCTCCCAGAATCATTCAGCACAAGCTGCC